AAAAAGTATATTTTGAATCGGTTGCTATGGAAACGGCGGCTATATTGGATTTTGTATACCTTTTTAAATCCCGTTTTATTTCCTTTTTTATTAACTGATTCACTTCTAATTTGGCATGCCAACAGTATATAGCTCTTAAATTTGGCTTGTTGGATTTTTGATATATGCTTTAGTTTTTATTTTATGACACTTACAATTGGGTTGTTGCAAAAAAAAAGTGAAAAAAAAAAGAAAATTCATGTTGTCTAAGCCCAAAAATCAAAAACTACTTCATTAATCAAAAATTCAACGAGCCAAAATTTAGAATTGGGTGTTGTTGACATCCTTTGAAAGGCACATTGAAATTGAACTAGAAACAGGTCAGACAAATGGGATAATGTGCGAAAAAATAGAATTGTGAGAAAATAGCCGATAAAGGTAAGGACCGACTACAAAACATGAGCTTTCGCGGAAACACTTGGACAAAAAAGACAGCTTTAGGGTGTAACAAGGCTTACATACGTTTCTGGATATTGTTCAGGAAATGTCCAGGTACTATAATATGTAATAACCCCAATTTGCATAATTTGGTCCCAAAACAAGATTTCTAGGTGCCCCACCAGCCTTTAACTATTCTTGGATCTTTTTAATAAGTTTATGTCTTTTTTGTTTTTGTAAGTATTTTGTGGCGCTCGCAGCTGCATAAGGTCATATTAGCGCGCGATACACATTTAAACATTTTCAGTTTGGTAGGAATTAATTCTGAATATTGCCCAGTTGGCGGAAAAAGCTTACTCTTATCGATTTTAGGACCACCAAGAGATCTTTAACATAAGCAGCTTGCACTCGGGACCTCTGAGATATTTTAGCCCTTATCCGAGAAGGTTATGTGTTAGATCTTACCGACCCTATGATCAGGGGTGTGGCTTCAATACAGCAGTGAGAAGAACCAATGAGTAGCATTTGAAAGGCTGCCGAAACCGCCAGGAGCCCAGCAGATGAGAGGGCAAAAGGTAAGGGGGGGGGGGGGCAGAAAGTGGAGACAAAAGCAGACTACAGAACAATAATTGAGAATAGGAAAGGTGAAAGGAAAATGTATTTTAGGGAAGAAATCGAATCCGAGACCTATTGAATGAAAGGCGAACACTGTGCCTCTTGGCCACGAGAGCCCCCTGAAGTTTAGGTCTGTTTTTACTATAAGCCAAAACTTTTGTGCGGCGCCACCAGAGAATAAGAGCGTGCTTTGGGACAGTGGAAGTTTAAGGTAAATATCAGGGTAACATCTGTTGGCCTACTATCTCCGCATCGCAGTTACATTGTACGGGCATTTTAAGGGTAAGATGCTTGTTTGTTGGTTGTTTTTTTTGTGGGGTTTTTTTTTTTGGGGGGGGGGGGGTACTTTTCTTTGTGTAGCTAAGAATGAATGTAGCAACGAGTGAAGCTCCTGCGGGCTTTTTAAAGTCGTTTATAGGCCTAGGCTTTTTAGAGCTCGATTAATCGGCGTGACTACACTGCCGCTGACCGCTCTTGATGAAAACTTGTCGGCGGACCTCTGCTGAGGGTGTTCCCATTCATCTGTGGTTGTTCAGAAGAGATTCAAACAGTGATGTCGGGTGGGTTTTGAAGAGAGTGGGACTGGCCGTGACCAAACATTGAGATTGTTCAGATTATCAGGATGCAAAATTACTGAAAAGACAGTGAAATATAAACTGATTCAAAAGTATTACAATCTTGTTAGAGGCAACACTGCGTTTGAAACAAGGAAATTGGACTCACCTATGCGTTTGTACACATGTAGATACATTGTGTCTCTTATCTTACCTAATAAGCTGAAAGAACTAATGCGGATTTCCAATAAGTATTCTACACGATACATTGCTGCATTGGAGAACAAAAATTTGATTCCAATTTTAAACTACCTCAGCTCACTGATACAATACAATGGTGCTTGCTTCCTTGTTTGTCTGATTTCCACACACAGAACACACATAGCACACAGTTAACACGCTCAAGTGGCGTCGATGGCCTAGTGGTTAGACGACCGGACCCCTAACCGTATGATTGTGGGTTCGGGGGTTCGAGCTTTAGCTCGGTCTGTCTTTGTGTCCATGGGAAAGGCACTGTACACTGTACACGAATTTCCTATTTTGCCCGGTCCCTTTGGCGATGGACGTTTTTAAACTCAGAATTCCAGCTTCCTAAATACTTAATAGTGTTAATATGGGCGTTAATTTGATACCATCTCACCATCCTCAACACGTTGAAAACTTCATCAAAGTGTAAGCCTTACACACACAATCTAAACACACTGATATCATCACTAATATGTGGTATAAAATGTGTGTGTGTGTGTGTGTGTGTGTGTGTATTGTGAAGGAAGGGGGTGGAGGATGAAGGGAGGCATCGATGGGAATTACAGCCGGTCAGTTCTATAAACCCACCAGCCACCCCTGGCTATAATATTATGTATATCGAAGTTCAGTCTCCTTTCATTCCCTCCACGATTTCTGTCTGGAATCTTGCTTTTTTTTCAGCAAAAACTACACAAACTAGTCGTTATCTTGTCGATGGGCTTCTCCTTGTACGTATTTATGTTTTTATGTAGGTAGGCTATGTGCTAAGACGCGCGCTGCATATTCCATGGGCAGCTAGAAAAACAAAAATGAAGAAGTCTTGGTTGAAGCAAATTACGAGACGACAGCTTATGATGAATACGAAAGCGACAAGAAAATTTCATTGGAAGCACAATGCAGAAAGAAACATTGGAGAATATCGTAACAACTGGCAAGCTTGATGGAGAGAGAGGGA